TCCTACCTCAGGAACCTAGTTAGAAAAACATCAAAAAGAAACTAACAAAAAACTAAGCAAAAGGCAGGAAACAATAAAGATAAGAGCAAAAATTAATGGAGAAAAACAATAGAATAATATAGGATGAAAAAAGAAAATAAGGGAATACTATGAACAACTCTACAACATGAGTTTAACAACTTAGATGAAATAGACCATACCTGAAAAAACACAAACCACCATAATTCATCCAAAATAGAATAGGTAATTTCAATAGTCCTATAACTATTAAAATTAAATTTGTAATTTAAAAGCTCCCCCACAAGAACTCTCCAGGCCCAGATGATTTGGAGAATTTTAACCAATTTTAAAAGAATTAACACCAGTTCTACACAAAGTCTTCCAAAAAATAAAAAGAACATATCTCAACTTATGAAGTTAGAATTACTCCAATGCCAAAACTAGACAAAGACAGTAATAAAAAAAAAACAAAAAACATACAAAATACGATCTAATATCCCTTATGAATAGACACTAAAATACTTAACAAAATATTAGCAAATGAAATTTGGCAATATATAAAAAGAAGTATGCACAATGACAAAGTGAAGTTTATTACAGGGATAAAAGGCTGGTTTAATATTTGAAAATCAATCAATGTAATTCACAATATTAACAGACTAATAATGAAAAATCACATGTTCTTATCAACCAATGCAAAAAAATAATTTGGCAAAATTTAACACCATTCATGATTTAAAATTTTCAGAAAAATAGGAATAGAAAGGCACTTCCTCAACTTGATAAAGAGCATCTATTTAAAAAAAAAAAAAAAAACCCTACAGATAACATTACACATAATTGCGAAAGACTACATGATTTCCTGCTAAGATGGAGAACTATGCAGTGATGTCTGCTTTCACCACCCATTTTTAATATAATCCTGAAAGTTCTAGCCTGTAGAATAAGACAAGAAAAGGAAATAAAAGGCATATCAATAAGAAAGGAAATAAAACTGTCCCTTTTCACAGATGACATCAGTTTTCATGTAGAAAATCCCAACAAATCTACAGAAACTCCTAGAACTGACAAGTTGGTTAAGCATTGTCAAAGGATATAAAATATAAGATACAGAACTCAATTATTACACATAATAATTATATATAATCAATTAACATTTAGCTACTGAAATTAAAAATATAATACTATTTATAATTGCTCAAAAAATTAAATCCTTACAGGTAAATCTAACAAAACACATATAGGACTTTGATGCTGAAAACTACAAAATGCCAGTGAAAGAAATAAAAGAAAATCTCAATAAATGGAGAGATGTACAATATTCATGGATTGAAAGACTCAACATGGTAAAGATGTCAGTTCTTCCCAAGGGGATATACAGGTTTAACACAATTCCTGTGAAAATCCAAACAAGGTGTTTTATAGATATAGGCAAGATGAATTTACAATTTACATGGAAAGATAAGAAACTAGAATATCTAAAACATCTTCTAAAAAAAAAAAAAAACCAAGTGGGAGGAATCCATCTACCCTATTTCAAGTTTATTATGTTGCTACAGTAATCAAGACTGTGATATTGGCAGAGGGATAGAAACATAGATCAATGGATCAGAACAGAGGACTTGGAAATGTGCCTAACTCATTTTTGACAAGGGTACAAAAGCAATCCAATGGAGGAAAGATAGCCACAAAGAGATCCTGTGGGTCAGACATGGGAAAAGGGCATCAAATTTGACACTTAAGGGAAGAGCCATTGCATGGCAGTAATGTGGCAGATGTGAAGAGGAATTGGGGCAGGGAGAGTGCAGACAGATGTCACTAGCCCTTTATTTTTCACTATAATTTGTAATTATTAAAGTTATTTCCTCCCATTAATTTTCTTGCACCAGGATAATTATTCTCTAACATCACTTTAATCATTATATATGTTTATAAAAAAGCCAAAACAAGTGGAGCCACCGAGAATAATTGTGTGGTGAGCAAACCTTTTACCTGAGAGTTGGGCATTTTTAATGTCTGATTTTAATTCAAATCATTTTATGTATATTTTGTTTAAACACAGTTTCTGTTAATGGAAACTGAATATTTGGATAAATGAAAATTTGCATTTAGCTTTGAATTGTTAAATTTCAGAACTAGATTATGGAGGGTGTGTGTGTGTATTTCATGAAAATTATATTTTGTGTTTTCTAATAGTTGATTAAGTTCTCTTTCTCCTTTTTTATTTTAGTTGAATGCCTCAGAATCTCACCGAAAAAGACTTTTGTTTCACAAACTCTGGGAATACCATGCAGTTACAGAATATGAGATTTTAGAGGCTGAAACTAACCTAGTAGAAATGCAAATCCATCTTTTATCTTTTAGATAAAAGCCTTTGAAATCCTTTTAGTGTGAAGTTATCAGCAGGCTTGGTTCTCATATAACCTCATTACTAACTCAAGGATTATTCAAAATGCATGGACAGCAATGCTCTGTGGCTGAAACTCGGTTTTAATTACTACTACAGTCCAGTGATAAGCCCACCTAGCATGTGCTCCACCTAGATCTGTTTGGGAAATTCTGCCACTCTCCCCCAACACACAAGATCACAATATACATCGAAGGTTCTCATAAATTGTGTACTGAAGAAATCTGTTCAACTTTATTTGAGCATTTCCAAAACTTGTTTAACCACAGAACCTTTTTCTACATTAAAATTTCATAACTCACCTAGGGGTTTTGTAAGATAAGAAGTGGAGTGGATATTTTTGAGGGATTAATGTTTCAGAACTGAAGTCTCTACTGCTGGAAGTGATGGCAGTGTTGTCGATATATCTTTGTTTTATGGATTGGACTTGGTGAAATATAAAAAAAAAATTATTACCCAGTGTCATCCCTGATCTCCCTTCTCCCTCCAGAGCGGCAAGAATTGGCTTCTTAGGTGCTAGGGTTTTGCATATTTTCCTGAAAAAATATTTTTATCAGTTGCCTCTATTTTCATTTAATGGAATAAGCTTCCCATTAATAAATTAATAAGAGAGTTTGTTATGGAACAGAAATGTATGAACAAAACGTGGTTATATCAAGTTCACTAATTGTTATTGTAAGGTTTATTTAAAACAAGGTAATTCACTATTTGGAGTACAAACCTCATTTTCCAAACTGAAACCATGTAGTGATTACTTATTACGTACACTTATGATCTGATCTACTCAGATTTACATTTGGAGCAATAAAACTTCTGGCAGCTGCTCCGAGTTGTCCGCATGAAGAGGAGACAGGAGATAAGAACATTCCTGTTTTTATTGCTTTGCAGAACATTTGATGTTGGGGTGGGGGTAGGAAAGGGTACCTATCATGGCCATAAATGTCCACGTCTGATACCAAAGAAGTAAACCAGTTCTCTTCAGAAGATGTGGTAAATCTCTCAGGCCACTGGCCTCCATTCGTCAATACCTGCCAAAGGCTTAACAAAAAAAAATCAGAGAAAAGCTGCTGCCTCCTCCTCCTCCTCATAAAAGCAATCCCTACAATTTAAAAATAGTTTAGGGCTTTGTGAGAATCATTGCCAGGTGTAAAACCTTCAACTATTTACCTAGTCCTAAGAGCTTTGTAGGATCCTGAGCAAGCTCCAAACTGCCTCAACTTGATTCCAACCAACTTAATTCTGGCTGGGTGCAGTATGGGGACAGCATTTGGGGGATGGTGTTGTTGACATAGACTCTGCCCAGGCAAATCCACCAACAGCATAACTGCTGGGAAGCTTGCTGCCCTTAGTAATCGGAGGCCATTCGGGATTCCTGTTAGATGGGGGTGTCTAGGAAGACTGTTAAACCCCTGAGTTTTCATGACTCCCAAGATATATCAATGTGGTCTGTATTAGCTCATTATCAGCACCTAAAATTCTTAAGCTTTCTTCTTTGGACATTAGTACTTTGGTTAAAAGCTGCCAAAATCATGACAGAAACTAGTGGGGAGTGAATTTTTATTGCCTAATAAATAATATGATAGGAGGTCATAACTCCACATTAGCCACTAAATATTCAGAATGTATAAAGCATGCAAAGTTGGATCCAAGATATGGATGAAAAACAGCTCAGTGACATTTCTTAAGAATTATTCATTTTCTTTTTTAATGTGAAAGTAGAGCAGGAACATTCTCCTAAATCCCAGGCTTAGAAATCTGAACACTGCCTGGAGGCCTTAACGAATTATACTGACAAAGCCATTTTTCTTTAGTTTTTAAATTACAAATGAAAAATTCCTCAAGGAATTTTGGATGAAATCTCAAGTTTTCTGACTCATAAGAAGTAGAGGGACCTCTAGAAACTCCCATCATGGTCTTCATCTGTCATTCTAGAAAGACACTGAAATCATGTTAGGAAGAAATGAAGCTCCTCAATTCTGGAAAACCTTCGTTTTTGGTTTAGTCTTCTGTAAAACATCCTAGCATCTGGCTATGCTCATTGGCAAGAAGTTCTTTCTTTTGGATAGAGTCATTTTCTCCAGATAAAATGAATGCATTTTTAATTGTTCTGCTCTTACTTGTGACTAACTGCTTCACACAGACACACGCACGCATGCACACCCCAGCCTCTGCTGCAGTCTTTTATCTTTTTGAAGACTGCTGTTACCTGCCTAACTTCTTTTAACACTGTTTTCTTTGTACTCTGTGACTCTTACTTCCTAAATAATCCCTTCAAACTGCTCATCTCCTAAAAGTAAAAATCGGTACGGGACAAAAGTTGTTGAAAGGCAAGGAGCCATACCACTACGTCTTGGTTTATGGGGATGACAATAGGCAAAGAGGTCGATGTTCCCTGAAGCTGTCCTCCTACAATGGCGAAGTGGGTCTCTCCAAGGAGATCTTTGGGATCAGACATAAACTTGAGGCAGTATACATCCCATGTGCTGCTAGATCTTTCCAGGAATTAGAGTGTTGATGCTCCTCTTGTTTTTCTTTTAGGCAGGTCGGACTAACATTTCCCATCTCAATTAAAACATGTTTTCTCTGTTGACAGAGACCAGATACTGCTACACTCAGCACACAATGGAAGTCACAGGAAATAGCATCTCTGTCACCAAACGCTGCGTCCCACTGGAAGAGTGTTTATCCACTGGCTGCAGAGACTCCGAGCATGAAGGACACAAGGTCTGAGCAACAAAGCAAGTGACCGGTACTGCATAGTCAGCCTCCCTGCGCTTCAGACATGTGCCAACTCCTGAGCAGATTCCTACTCCCCAGTGTAGGCTCTTTTGACTGTCTTTATACCATCGTGAAAAGATGCTTCCTTTCCTGTTTGCTCTAAAAGAATACAGATTTACCCCAGAGCATAGGACAACTGGTGTAAATTGTTTTAACACATACCAAGAGGGCACTAAAAATTATTATAAGCTCTTTCTTCACTCAGAAGAAAGTAATAAATGTACCAGAAGGAAGAGGAGCAAGGGGCTGGTTATGTCCATCCTGGTGAAGCACTGCAGATGTACCAACAGTCATTCACCAGAGGAGGCTATGGCCATGGAGCTTTGATAACTTTCTGTAAAGTGGGGGCTCGTGTCTTTACTGGGATGCCAGTTTGAGGAAGGTCTCCATTGGCTCCTGAGTCATTAGATAGGTGACAAGAGAACCATCTCCCTTGTGTGTTTGCTCCCCTTAAACTTCATCTCAGTGTAAAATGAACTTCAGGGGCAGTCTTGAAGGAGTATGTAAAGAATCAGAGAGAGGCAGCTTGACTCATGGTTGGAGCAAGGAATGCCCCTGACTCTCTGGCTGGTGGTTCAGGGCTGGCAGTGCGTGTGACCCTCGCATAGCAGGCCTTGGCCTTGATTTACCATCTGCCCACTTGTACTGTCAGGCTGCCTTCCTGGTGGTTCAGCACAGCTCCCACTCTCAGTATCCTGCAACAGCACCATCAGTCAGGGCTGCTTTCTCTTAAGAAGACAGACACCAAATTTTCAAACAACTTCTCAAATACACTAAGAATTAAAATTTAAAATATAATCTGCCTACTTGCTCCGAGTTTGAAATATGAAGGGTAAAACCAAGAGCTTTACTTGACCAACCAGCAAGGAGGGCTTGGCTCTCAGGCGTTACTGTGGCCTCTTTACTAAGATCAGAGAAATTATGTCATATGCTCAGGTCACACAGCTAGTGAATGACAAAGACAGAATTCAAACTCACTTCTGACTTCTATCCTCTCTCAACATTATACTGCCTTCCTAGCCCATGTCAACTGTGACGAAAGACTCCAATCTCTGCGGGATAATGACTTCATAGGCTATTAACCATCTTATGAATATGGATCACCTGGGGATCTTGTTAAAATGCAGATTTTAAGTCTGGAGTGAGGTTTGAGATTCTGCATTTCTAACAAGCTCTCAGCTGATGTTGGAGCTGCTGGTCTGTACTGTGTGTAGCCATGACCTAAAATTATTTCTATCAATAACCCTTTGGACCTATTTCTTTCTTATGATCCAGGAGTAAAGTGGTATAAAGCAGGAGTAAGTGCACAAATGAAAACCCTTCAAACTTGAATTCACTGACGAAAATGTAGAAAAATAGCAGATAGTTTTAACCAAAGTAAATATTCAATTTTAAATTACTTTGATTGTGGCCAGTTCACTTCCACTGTGAAAACTTGGCAAATGAAAGTTTCCCCTCTTAACCGCTTCCTCAAGTGTCAGAAAGAGCCTCTTTGAAAAAGGAAAGGCAAGTTCGTAATTCCCATTTCCTAGCCGGAATAGCTGAGGCCCAGGAAGGCTACAAACCTCTGTAAGAACCACATGGTGGGATGTCAAAAGCAGAGCCCAGACCCCCTGAAGTTCAGGCTGGGGACTTTTCATTCTGATCATGTTGCTTCTAGATGAAATACTATTCCCACTCTTCCTGAATGTAGGGTTGGCGTCTCCTTTGTAGAACAGGTAATTTTTATTTGAGTCTTGCTGTGAGGGAAACAATTCCTTCAAAAACCGCTGCCTCTTTCCAAGACTTGCTGGCTTCTCATCACCCTTCTTTCTTCTCTTCTTCCCTTGCAGGTCTGCACTTCCTGTTGTGAAGGAAATATCTGTAACCTGCCACTCCCCCGAAATGAAACTGATGCCACGTTTGCCACAACGTCACCTATAAATCAGACAAATGGGCATCCACACTGCATGTCAGTGATCGTGTCTTGCTTGTGGGTTTGGCTGGGACTCACATTATAGCAGCTCCACAGCGCCGTGTATAGTAGCAATCCACAGGGAGATGGTCTGTAGTCATGCATGAGTCATTGGCTTGACAGTAGTACCACGTGTGACACCAAGCACGTGCAGATGCCGTCATGGCCAAGCATTACCACTCACCATGAGGAACCAGCATTGCTTCATTGTAGTCATTTCAAGTCTAACCAAGACCCCATCAAAGCCAGCCTGCCCCTCGTACAGACCCTGAGTTCTATACCACAGTCCTTTGTTTCACTCCAGGAAATAGTTCTGCATGTATTGAGAGCTGGGGTTCTTAATTTGGAGTACATGCATGAGCTGCAGGAGGTCCTGGGACCCTCTGAGATGTTAGGGATATGTTATATGAACATGCATAGATGTGTGTTTTCAGGAGAAAGATAAAGAGCCACTGGTTAAAATACAATCATGAATTTATTTATAGCTTTAGAATTTTAAAACTTTTGTTTCCAAAATAAATGTACTGTTTCCTTGGAGATTCTGACCAAGTCCCTGGAAGAGTAGTAAGTGATTTGTCCTATCATTTTCCCTCTGATCTATGTTGAAGATGGAGAGGCGGTCATAAAATTTAGGTGTATTTGTGGGGGTAGCTGGGGAAGGATTCTTCCACAGCTTAATGGAGCTAACATCTATAAAGTGGCTAGGTTTATTCCTTTGTATAATTGGTAAAGTGGGCCTTGACCTGGCACCTAATTATGTTCCATGAGATCCTGTATTCCACCTGAGCCAGTGGTGTCCAAAGAGTCCGAAAGCAGGATGTGGTTATTTTCTCCAGATGTGAAGTTCTCTTCAGACTTAGCTCATCTAGACAGGAGAGGATTCTGAATGAAAGGAAGATGTGTTAGTCCTAGCTCATTTTGAAGAGCCCTTCCCTTCCAAATTCCCAGCAACTTTAGGGAGAAGGTTCTGTGTTAAATTGTCTCTAGATTGCGAGGGAAAGAAAACATAATACGCTAGGATGAGAAGAAGGTGGACCCATGAGGTGATGGGGAGAACAGGAAGGAGACCCGGTGGGAAGTTTTTATTTTAGATATTGTTTTTGAAGTAGATGATAAAATTTTCACCAGCCTTCCTATATTTTTAGCACCCCAAGTTACAGTTTTTTCTTCTTCCTTGTAAAGCATTTAAACAATATTTATTTTTATATGGTATAACTAGAAACTAAAATATATTCTAAAAAATTCTTTATTCTGAACAAAATGATCAAATTAGAATACTTATTTTTCAACAGTGGCAGAGCTTGTAATATATGTTTGTTGAAAGTTATCTATAGTACTTGAACCAGTGTTGAAAAAAGTCAACCTGTTGTGAGCAAGAACAATGTATCTCCTCAAAGCTTTTGCTCATGATTTCCTCAGTTGTGCTGTCCCAGAGGTATTCAGGTGGTGACTATCAGTGGTGTGAGTTTCTGTGCAGGGTTTTAGGGTGTGTTTGTGTGAAACTTGGTAAAGCCATGACTGATAAAGAGGATGGTGTTGTCAGATTCCATCTCCCCTGTATAGGAAAATGTTTCTGGCTCATAAAATGAGACCCCCTCAGGGACCAAATATGAATTGACTTCAGTAACTCTGACACAGAATAATCTAAATTTCATCAAATGGCCTAAATTCAGAGTTTGATGGGCTTATCAATATGTTGCTGATAATGGGGGTGTAGAGAGAGGGAGAGAAAGCAGGACATTTATTCAGCACCTCCTGTGTGCCCGGCACTATGCTAAGCACTTTACATGTTAGGACATATCACCCCTGCAAGAACCCTATAAAAATATTACTGTATTTACACTTTATGAATGAAGGTACTGAGGCTCAAAGAAGCTCAATAACATGAAGCCTTTTCCTTCGGATTTAGGTTATAAATTGAAGTGGAAGGGAAGGTGGAATTACTCCCCTAGGAAGAATTCCAGGCCTGACTTCATGGGAATTTGTCCATCTTATCACAGGGAGTTCATCTCATCCTGCATCTGCAGGGTGCCATTTGCATGTGTCCCCAGATTTTTTTTCTTTGGGGCATGGGGGTATGTTTTCCTCATTCATCCCTCTTGCTGAAAGAGGAGACAGTTGATCTTGCATCTAAAGATGCTGAAGGACAATGAAAATTTGATGTTGTACATGATGACAAGTACCATTTCTGTGCATGGTCACACTCCACTGACATCTTCCAAGTACTGCATGTGATTTGAATAAGAGACAAAGTCCAAATGTTGGCTGTTAATGAGAAAGTGAGCACACCAAAGCCTTCCTGGCTAGGGTACAAGGATGCACAAAGGTGGAGATTCATCCACACCCCCGGGAGCTATTGCACTCTACACAGATGCTGTTGCATGCATCTGGTGTGTGTGTCAGCATGGCTGTGTTTAACTCTCTTGAAAGAAAATGATTTGTTTGCCATTCCCAGCCTCGGGGAGCTGAGGAAGGGCCATTCGTGTGGAAGGTCCAGGACTGGTCAGCCATGTGACTTTTCTATCACATTAAACTTTCCACTAAATCTCACCATTGGTGATGGCTTGTAGTATAAAGAGCCACGATGTGTATATTAACCTATGTGCCACATATTTATTTTTAGACTTCCCACAGTGTTCATGTCAATATAGGATTAATGCCTAACCTTTGTAAATATTGTACATTTTGTAAATCAATGAATAAAGGTTTTAAGTGTACCTTACCAGGCTCCTCCCTACAAATGCACATGTCAATCAATGACTAATGCTCCCAGGTTATGTGCGAAACATCAGGCTTAGCACCACAGGAACTTCCTTCACTTTCTAGTTGTGCAGATAAGAAATACCTGCATGAAAAGATACAAGACAATTCACCCATGCCAAATGATTCATGCAGATAGTGAGTGCTACAGCAAATCAAAGAAGGATTAGAGACCTTACAATCAGGTCTGCAGTTTCTCTAGAAGATTTCTTTGTTAAATCAGGAACTATAAAAAGATTACATGTGTGTGTGTGTGTGTGTGTGTGTGTGTGTGTGTGTGTGTGTGTGTGTGTGTGTGTGTGTGTGTGTGTGTACGTACACAAACACATATACAGGTTGAGTATCCTTTATCTGAAATTCTTGGGATGAGAGGTGTTTTAGATTTTAGATTTTTTTCAGATTTTGGAATATTTGCAGAATACTGGTTCAGCATCCCTAATCCAAAAATCTGAAATGTCCCAACAAGCATTTCCTTTGAGTGTCATGTAGAAGCTCAAAAAATTTTGGATTTTTAGATTAGGGATATTCAACATGTATATACATATATACGTATGTACGTATACGTATGTGTGTGTATAAATATATTACCCCACTAACTATTTTTAAATCATTTTATTCTTGGGGTGAATTATGTTAATGACGATACAATAGAAACATATTCCCTTGATGGTTTCTTCTGCAATAGGAAACAAATATTGGAATAATATAAATGCCATTTTTATCTATAAAATGAATTTATTGTATTTTTCTTAGTAAAACAATACATATTGAAAGCAACCTTGAAAAACTTCAGCTTATTTGTTATTCTTTAGCCCCTATAATTTGGAAGTTCCAGGAAAATATATCTTTCCCCCAAAGTTAGAGTTTTTCTTTTCCCCCCCAAAAATTTATTCTTGGTCTTCACAGTCTGTTTCTTCTATCTTTATTATTTATTTTTTATTGAAACATAATTGATTATATATATTTGTGGGGTATGGAATTGAATATCAATACATGTGTACAATATGTGGTGATCATATCAGGATAATTTGTATAGTCATGTTTACAAAATGTAATCAATTTTTGTAACCCTTAACTGATTTCTTGCTAACTCTCCTCCTCTTCCCCCTTTCCCACCTCTAATAACCACAGTTCTGTTCTCTATTTTTTTAATTTTTTAATTTTTTTTGGAAGTTCAATGTATTATTGTGGCACATATTACTTCCACTCACCAGAATGGCTGTAATAATTTTTGAAAACAACACAAATCCAGAATATAATGCACTTTATAATTTTTAATTTTTTACTTTTGTCTTTTATTATTAGCATATTAATTATTACAAATGATACTTTTTCTTTCTGTCCTTTACCTGACCTATCATTCCTCGAACACCCTCCCTCCATCCCCCCATCTCTAGTATCCTTAGATTTGTTCTCTGCTGAAAGTTCAATGTATTGTTGGGGTCTTTAATTTCCTTCTTCCCTTCTTTTCCCTTCCCTTCCCTTCCCCTCCTCTTCCTTTCCCTTCTCTTCCCTCCCCTCCCCTTCCCTTCCCTTCCCTCTTCTCTCTCTCGAGGTTTTCTATTAGGTTCTGGATCAGTGACATGGTTGGTGCTCCTTAAAGTGTCATACTTGCATGAAGATAGCTCTTACCATTAACCTCTGTGAATAGCTTCATGTGTTCAATGTAAATGGCACTACAGGTAGACTGTGCTTTTAGAAAATCTGATTTTGAAGACATAGACATGTTTACCTAATTTGAGGGTTTTAAAAGGATACTTCACTTTAAAAATGCATTTCATAGTTTTTTCCTAACAAATTTATAAGATTTTATGTACCAACAAAATTTAGGGCATACTGGGTATGTAAAGTCAGATGTGGTACCTTGGCTATATTATAGTATCTTTTATCTGAGAGACTTAAAGAGCATTCACAGATGTTTTTAATAAATCACTAGGAGTGAACAACGTGAAGATACTTTGAGCATCTGTTATTTTAATCTCCATTGTAACTGGGAGAACATGACTTTAGAGGCTCTAAGTTTGCACAGCAACTTGCGGCAGGACTAGGGCATGAATATGAAGCATCATGACTTCAGCTTGGAGTTCTCGCCACTGTAATTTCTTGGAAAACAGGTTATAATTTTTTTTAAATATAAAAATTTCTAACATGATTTGGTGTTACAAAACCAATGCAGATTCCCAAAATGTCTTTCAAATCAAGACTTGACTTTAAGCAGTTTCTCTCTTTAGCTAATCATGGCTTCTCCTATTAGTAAATTATTATTATTATTATTATTTTTGTTTTTTATTTTTTATTTTTATTTTGTCAATATACACTGTATATGATTATTATGGCCCATCCCCGACACCTCCCT